TATGAGACAGACTATGGAGACCCAGAATTTCCATGGCGTGGTAAGATGTGAGAAGATATAAGTAGAAATGAAGGATTCTTGATTGGCTATGGTATCCGAATCATGCCGAATGTAGGGTCCATGATTAGCAATTTCTTGTTCAATGCGGAGCATTTCTGATGCCATTTGAAAGTGCAATGATGGGAAGGCCTCACTCAGGTTGGTTAACAGAAGATGATGAAAAATTGTGGAAGAAAGCGTAGGAAGCTGGTCAGCTAAATCGTTCTGAAACTTAAGAGCTTTTATTTGAGAGTCAGGTACATTATATAACTGTCCAGTGACTTGATCGATGACAAAAATGCGTTCATTAATTTGTATAGGTAGATTATTGATCAATTGACATGGAAAGCGCGGAGCATACTCAGAAATAATCATTGTTAATGGGTCTAAGTAGCCATTATAGTGCTTGTCAAATAAGGTAAAACGAGCTGCAGGATGTTCATAGCACCAGTGAGAGTCATTAGTAGGAAGAAAAGTTACATCATGAAACGGTATAGACATACAAGGCCAAACTTCCAGTATATTTGCAGCAATACGTGCATGAATATTACTTTGGTTAAGATATGCGCGAGCTGCCAGGGTGGGATTGTGACTTAGAGATGTAACGATTTGGCGTGAGAGTATATTCACTGCATTGCAAATAGAGTGAAGTGCATGTCTGAATGAACTGATCGAAAGAGACCAATCTCTAGAGCTTGAAGCTGTGACGCAAGTTGATTAGTCGTTACTGAACTTGAAAGAGAGTTGGGGGAGGTGTTTGTAATGCTGCGCTTACTACGCAAGTTCAATTCCTGGAAGTTCACTGCATAAGCTTGATCGCTTATAAGTAGGGTTTGATCACAGTCCGAAACTCGTTGGCTAGCATTTGTAAACGAGAGGGCAAATTCTTTGGAGTCAGAAAGCCATATATTTCCAATCATTTGACCTGACCAACGTTGAAGTTTGACAAATCTGCAACGCTGGGAGGGTTCCGGTATCCATATTAAGACTGAGCTGTCTTTGAGATGACAAGAAGCATCGTTGTATCTGCAACTCTCCATATCACCTACAGGGGATTGAAGATCTCCATCGAATGTAGCTGAAACAACAGATTGAAAAACATAACAGTTAGTTGCTTCGGTCTTACGCTCATGAAAGCTGCCAATGATTGGATATGGAAAATCAATATTCAAATTATTTTCTGTTTGATAAACTTCTCCTTTTAGAACTAGATTACCAAATTGATAAGTTTCATGATGCAGCATACTCCGACAGGCAGATGTAGAAATAAAAAGATTATCAATTTCAGATCGGCTGATTTTGTCGTTGAGGAAATCAGTGTAGTAATATGTAATTTTATGAACGATATGGCAGGCATATGCTTTTGTTTCATTTCGAATTGTGTTAGGCCGAAATACTGTAAATGTGATGTTAGTAAGAGGAGTCATGTTATTTTCATCAAGATTAGGACATTCAGGAGGACTGGGTATACGCCAAAACATACGCGACTTAGCAACTTGACATACCATTGGTGATAAAGAAGTAGCCGAAAAGATAGGGGGAATTTTACAGAAGAGAAAAATAAAAAGAACAAGAATTAAAGATCGTGGGGTGACCAGTAGAGGTGCTCGATGTTGACGCTGTTGGCGTACTGAAGTATTAACAGGTGCGCTCTGTCGAGTAGCAATTTGGGATGAAGTAAGGGGGGATGATGCTGAATGAGTAATAGGTAAAGGTGGATAATAGAAGTTGCGTAATATGCCCCGGTCAACAGGTGAATTAGTTGCGTGATTAATGGGAACACATTTAGGGTCATGAGTGCCGTGACATGGATGTTGAAAACTTTCGGTGATTGTGTTGATTAATGGTGGAGATTCGGAAACTCCTGTAGTAAGTGAATCACGAACAGCTGTTGTGCTAAAATAGGTAGGGTGAGTTGAATTTTGATTATCATCCGGAGGCATAGTATCAAGTGAGCATATTCAATGAGAACAAAGATTACAAGGTGGAGGTCGGGATGGGATATTAGTGTTTGATCTGTTTTGCTGCTGCTGCTGAGGCATGCGGGGAGGGTAATAATTATTTTGTGCCAAGTAACGGGGCGCAGGATTTGATTTATAGCGAGGTGCAAATGTACGTTGTAAATGCTGAGGTGATCTGGCAGAGTAATCGAAAGTACGCCCGGGATTTCCGTA